TTGATTTTTATACCTTCTCTTAAACCATCAATATAGAGAACAGAAGAAATCTTTGTAAAAGTGGTGTACATAGTGAAAGGGAAAAAGCTAGTTTATGAAACCTCAATAAAGAAATAAAACGAAGATGTAAGGCCGACAAAAAACAGTACTATCAAAGTATATGCAAAGAAATTGAGAGATATGGTCAGAATAATCAGCCGAGAGATCTATTTAGAAAAATACGCTACCTGACAAGAGATTTCAGAGCCAGAACTTGGGCCATTGAAGATAACACTGGAACCCTGAGAACAAACAGAGAAGACATAGCAGAGGCATGAAGATCGTATTGCAGGGACCTATATAAAGATGATCAACGCCAAGAGCTTGTTAGCCAAATCTCTGATGAGGTGGAAGAAGAACCTGATATACTCGAAAATGAAGTAAGACAGGCTAGCAACAAGCTCAAATATAACAAAGCACCAGGTCCAGATATGATAACAGCAGAAATGCTTAAAGCCACAGAAGAAACCGGCGTAAAGTTACTTCATCTACTCTGTAACCAAATATGGCATTCCAAACAATGGCCTGAAGACTGGACAAAATCTACAATAACGACCATACATAAAAAAGGCAGCTTCCATAAATGCGACAATTATAGAACTATCTCTCTTATATCCCATGCCAGCAAGATAATGCTACATATAATCAATGAGAGACTGAAAACATTCCTTCAAAGAGAAATTCCACAAGAGCAAACTGGATTTACCAAAGGTAGAGTCACTCGAGAACACCTGCTGTATAAGACAGATAATCGAGAAATCTAGGGAATTCAACATCCCACTATACCTGTTTTTATAGATTACCGTAAAGCGTTCGACAGGGTCAAGTGGAGACACTTACGGCGAATACTTAAAGAAGTAGGCGTACCACAACATCTAATTACGCTTATAACTGAACTATATGAACACACTACTGGATCAGTTAAAGTATTTGACACACTTTCGAACGAGTTTCATCCAGAACGGGGTGTCAGACAAGGATGATACTATCTCCACAATTATTCAACATATATGGAGAGTATATTATGCGAAGAGCACTTGAAGGATGGGAAAAGGGCATCTCAATAAATGGTCATAAACTAAACAACCTACGTTTCGCAGATGACACAGCCCTTCTTGCAAATAGTCAAGCAGAGCTGATGGAACTTATACGACTGATCGAAAACGAAAGTCAAATATTTGGTCTGCAATTAAACATATCATGATAGTGGATAGACTACACAACAATCATCCACACATAACCACAATTGACCGGTTCGAGCTTGTGAGCTCATACTTATATCTGGGATCATTAATCACAAACACAGGGTCATCACAAGAAGAGATTAAACGTAGATGTGATCTAGCAAAAGTTGCCACAGCAAAAATGACCAAAATATGGAAGGAATGTCAAATTTCAAGAGCGATAAAGATGAGGTTGACCAACTGCTTAATATTCCCAATACTGACCTACGGATGTGAATCTTGGACTCTGAGACAATCGGAGAGAAAAAAGATAGACGCCACTGAAATGTTCTGTTGGAGACGAATGTTACGAATTCCTTGGACCGACCGTAGAACAAATAATTCAATTTTAAGAGAGCTAAAAGTTAGCCAACGACTCTCTAGTAAAGTCCATCTCCAACAATTAAAATATTTTGGGCATGTTATGAGAGCAAACACAGAAAACATGGAAAGACTCATAATACAAGGAAAGGTAGAAGGCCGAAGATCACGAGGAAGATCCCCAACAAGATGGATAGATCAAATTACAAGAATATGCCAAAGACCTATGCATGAATTAAAAGAAATGACCAGAGACAGAGATCTCTGGAGACGGACAATACACGACCACTACACTCCACCTGGGCGGTCAGGACTGAAGAAAGAGAAACCATCAATAGCTTTTCTGAACAGCATTTCCGAGTAATTATTGAACAACGTCGGTGACAAAATGCAGCCCTGACGTACTTCCCATTTTATCGTGAATTCTTGTGAGCTTTCGTTGTCTACTCGTACAGTTGCCCTTTGCTGTAATATAAATTTTTTACTATACTTAAATCTTTGTCATCAATACTAGATTCTTTCAGTATGTGAAGTAATTTTTGAGGTTGAATCTTGTCAAATGCTTTTTCAAAGTCTATTAAGCATGCGTAGACTTCGCAATTTACGTCTCGAGCTCTTTGCATCAATATTTGTATGGAAAATAGGGCCTCTCGCGTTGATTATATTTAGACGAAATATTAAGCAATATAATTGAAGCTTTTTCATTAGCGGAACGTAATCAAAATTATGTGCACATTATATTTGAAGCATACTTTGGTTAAAACATCTCAGTTTTGGCGTTTAAACATATTAAATACATGTATTAATTTGTCTGGACTAAAGGTGGTAAAAGATGGTCTGGAAGTTATATTTTTGTTTTAATTTCCCGACGGACGATAGATAGATGGTGTCAAAATTACTTGTGTTAACGGAGCCTGAAAAATAGACGACGACGTTGCCTGCAGTTATTTTAAAATATGTTTTACCTCTCCAGTGAGTTTCTGAGAGTCCCAGTACCGTAGATTGTGGTCTGTCATTTCTTTTTCGCTTGTGTGTAACTTTACAGGGTTTTGGATCAGTCCTGACGATTCACGTACCAATTCGCTGACATTTTCTTAAATCGAGTGAAAACTTGGATTGAACCGCACAAATTCTGCCAGGTGCCCTCCCATCTTGGCAGCCGGTAGCATATTTCACACCATCCGACCTGGAACCTAGATGGCGCTGAGTTTGAGTCGGGTCCCCATCTTCACTTACTGAAATTGTCATCGTTATGGGAAGAAACTCTCTTGGGAAAATAGTGCAGTGGTTGCCAATTGTCTTCTGCGCCGTTGTATATATTTTTAATTATATAGAGAGGGCTTATATTATATAGAAAGGTAAAAGAGTTTACATCGACTACCAAGAGAACGACTTTTCACACCATGCTGAACACGGATGGCAAACTGCTAGAATCAACGGAAGATAAACTGAAAGAATGGGAAAACTATATTAAAATTCTTTTTCACGACATACGAGAAGAACCAAGATTGGAAAATAACAACGAAGGGCCAACAATTCTGAAATCTGAAATCATAAATGCAATTAATCATCTCAAAACAAATAAAAGCCCAAGTCCAGACGGAATATACCCAGAAACGTTAAAATTAATCAGCGAAGAAAATATCGAAATATTTGTCCTTTTATTCAATCGCATTTATGATACAGGTAAAATACCCCAAGATTGGCTAGAGTCAATATTCATCCCACTAAAGTCAAACCCACAACACTGCAATGAGTTCCGTCTGATAAGCCTTATGAGTCATGCAGTAAAAGTCCTACTAAAAATCGTACATAATCGTATCTATAGAAAGTGCGAAACAATCATCGGAGACGATCAGTTTGGATTCAGAGCCGGCATGGGAACGAGAGAAGCCCTGTTCAGTTTACTAGTTCTCGCCCAAAAATGCTACGATCAACAGAAAGATATATTTATATGCTTTATAGACTTCGAAAAAGCATTTGATAGAGTAAGACACAACCTACTATTAGAACTAATATTGTTCTGAAGCTATTTTCTTGTGGCATTGTAAATTAATTACTATTTATAACTGGGAATAAGCCACAATTAAAGATAAAAATACGTTTATTGACGTTTCAATTTCCAATTCGGAAATCGTTCTCAAAATACTATTTGTATTTTGAGAACGATTTCCGAATTGGAAATTGAAACGTCAATAAACGTATTTTTATCTTTAATTGTGGCTTATTCCCAGTTATAAATAGTAATTAATTTACTATTAGAACGTTTGCAAGAAGTCGGTTTAGATGAAAAAGACATCAAATTCTTAAAAAACTTGTACTGGAACCAAAACGCCAGAGTTAGGATCGAAGGTTTCACATCCGCAGAAGTAGAAATTAGGAGGGGAGTTAGACAAGGATATGTTCTGTCGCCTCTACTGTTAAATCTTTACTCCGAGTTTCTATTTAAAGAAGCATTGGAGGATTCCAAGGATGGAGTCAATGTGAATGGCGTAAATATCAACAGTATCAGATACGCCGATGATACAGTGTTAATTGCGGATTCCGACTTAGGTCTACAACGACTCATCGACAAGACCAACTCGACCTGTGAGCAATTTGGTATGAAAATAAACATTAAAAAAATCAAAGTGATGTCAATCCGAAAAAACCAAAACGTACCTCAACTTTTCACAATAAATGGGCACATTTTAGAACAGGTCAATAGATTTAAGTACCTGGGATATTGGATCGATAGCAGCCTAAATCCTGATCTAGAAATAAGATCGAGAATAGAACAGGCCAGAAAATCTTTCGAAAAAATAAAAAACTCAAAATTCGACTACGTTTATCAAAATGCTACGTCTGGTCGACTCTTCTATATGCAGTTGAAACGTGGACCCTTAAAACATCAACCGTAAATAAATTGGAGGCCTTTGAAATGTGGATCTACGGAGAATACTCAAAATTTCATGGACATGGCATACCTCAAACGAAGAAGTGCTGCATAGAATAGGCAAGGAAAGAGATGTTTTTAACACAGTAAAAGTTAGAAAAACATCATACCTAGGCCATATAGGTACTGAGAAATAATAAGTACCAATATGCCCAACTTATAGTGAAAGGAAAAATCGAGGGAAAGAGAGGCCTAGGAAGGAAGAGACTATCGTGGCTCAGAAACATCCGACTAACGACATGGTTAAATTTTGAACAGCTAATAAGAACCGCTGAAGATAGAGAAGAGTTTAAAATTGTAGTAGCCAACCTTCATGGAGGAGAGGGCACTTTAAGAAGAAGAAGAAGAAGAAGAGAGTTAAACTTGATGCGATTTTCATGTTAAATATCCAGTATAACAGGTATTAACTTTGTATCCTTCTAAGAAAGAAGTGAGGAGGATTTTAAATAAAATACAGAGTAAAATATATATTTTTTAAATAATAGGGTGAAAAATAGAGTCAACATTTTAAATAAAATACTGAATGTTTCTGTTTGTGTATAGGATAAATTCCAAAGTAAAAAGTCTATATAGTACATAGTAAAATTTTATTTTCTAACTAATTATTCTCTTGTAAACTTTCTAAAAACTCATTTAACTGGGCTCGTTCATCGAATTCTTTTAATGCGGCATCTGCTACTTGACTTTTGACTTTTTCCACAATTTTATTCAGTTCAGCCATATGACTGTTAACTTGTCTGTAAATCTGAAGAAAAAAATCGACAGAAGTTACTTTGAATTTTTCCAAAGAATCTACTAATTCTTTTCGCCTCTGGGATAGTTGTTCATTTTCCTCTTCAGTCATCTCTAGTTCTCTTTGTTCATCAGAATCTTTTAAATTTGAGAGTAACGTCTGTTTCTGTTTTTCCCATTCCTCTAATTGCTAAAAGTGAAAAAATGTCAGAATACATAATAATAAAGTGGTTACGATATCATAAGTGGTTAATAATAAAGTGGTTACGGTATTATAAATTATCTTAGATGACCATCTCTTTTTAAATATCAGATATGCCTCTACGGTATCACCTTTTGTTTTATTATCTAACTTTAACGAATGCATCTCTATGTATAAATCCATTGTTTTGTATTACCGATCCTAAATATCTAAAACTATTAATTTTTATAATCATTCATTTCACCATACGAAGTTAGTGTTTAATTTGTAGTAACACTATATCTGAATGCAATTTTGGGATATTCTGTTTGTGTCTTACTAAGTTTTAAACATTTAACAGTCTCCACTGTTCCAGTCCTTGCATAAAATTCTTCTTCTTCTTCTACTTTTTGTAGATCTTTCGATCTGTTTAATTCTGAAGCTGCCTCTGGTTAATTTCTTGGGAGGTAGATTGCCAACTATCCCTCCATCTTTTAGGTGGTCTTCCGGGGGGTCTTGAACCGGGCGGATTGTTTTCTAGGGCAATTTTTGGGAGTCTGTTCTTATCCATTCGTCTTACATGGTTGTACCACATCCTCTTGCGCTGCCTTCCCCATCTTACAATATCTTGAATTTTGCACTGCTCTCTAATGTTTGTATTTCTCACTCTGTCTCTTCTTGTTTTCCCCATTATTGTTCTTAGGGTTTTCATTTCGGCAACCCTTAGCATCTGTTTCGTTTTGTTGGTATCTTCGCGCACTTCTATGCCATATGTCATGATCGGTCGTATGCAAGTTTTATAGATTCTAATTTTACTATCTGTGCGCATATACGGATTTGACCAGACTATCTCCCGCAGACATCCTGACAGTGCAGATGCTTTGTTGATCTGACTCCTCAGGTCCTTTACTGGGTCGTGGGTGCTTGATATATCTATGCCCAGCTATCTGAATTGCATCACCTGTTCTGTGGGGTTGTCCTCAACCACTAACTTACATCTGAGCGGATCTTTTGCTATTGTCATACATTTAGTTTTGTTGGTAGAGATGTTCATATTTAGTAGTCGGCTTGTTTAAAAGAACTGAAAGAGCTGCCTTTGGAGATCATCTTCTGATTCGGCAATAATTGCTGCATCGTCTGCGTAACACACCGTACCAATTCTTTTGTTGCCCATTCTATATCCGAGATTAAGAGATGTTACTTTGTTGATAATTTTACCCATGAGAAGATTAAACAAGAAGGGGCTTAAACTGTCGCCTTGTCTAATTCCTCCCGGTGCGGTGTTGGAATATTTTTAGTGAATTCGTCTCCTGCTCTAACTTTGGTTACGTTGTTGTTATTTAGGTTATGGAGTATCTTTGTTATACTGGTCGGTGTTTCATTTTCTATTAATATATTTAGAATGTCTCCCAGGCGAACCCTGTCAAATGCCTTCGTCAAATCAATGAAGCAAATATACGCTGGCATGCCGAAATCTATAGCTTTTTCTTTTATGTTTTATTATAAATACTGCGTCTGTTATAGACCGCCCTTTTGTAAAACCTTGTTGTTCTTCAGCATTAGTGATTTGCTTTTCCAATTTGTCCTTGAGAATACCCGTGAAAAGTTTCATTGTTGTATTTAAGGGGGTTATTCCTCTATAGTTAGTGGGCAGGTTTTTTGTCCTTTTTTAAATATGGGGATTGTGATACTATTATGCCATTCCTCTGGTGTTTCTGTTTTGTTCAATATTTTGTTAAATAATTGTGCCAGTTTACTTGCAAGTTCTGGGCCTCCATATTTTAAAAGTTCATTGGGTATACCATCCGTTCCCGGTGATTTTCTGTTTTTTAGCTTTTTGATCTTTGCTTCTACTTCTTCGTCATTGATTGTAGCACTCACATCTGTTTCGCCTTCGTTTATATTCAGCGTTTCTCCAGCATCATATAGCTCTTTAAAATGCTGTTGCCATGCCTCTATAGGTACTCCTTTGGTCTGCACGAACTCGTTAACTGGTTTTTTCCTGTTGCGGAGCATTTTCCATACTTTCTTTTGGGCACCATATAGGTCATAGTCCATGTCGCAAGTGAATTTGGCCCAATGTTCTCTTTTGATTGATTTTATTCTGGCGTTTACTTAGTTTCTTATTTGGACATATTCTGCATGAGCTTCTTCCGATTGCGTGCTTTTATATCTCAGGTAGCATTTGCGTTTTAATTCAGAGAGTTCCTTTACATCTTGGCAAAATCACGGTTTTGTGTGGTTTAATTAATGGGATATTAATCTTAAGTATACTGATAGTGACTGTAATATATTCTTAGATACAAAAACAGTAAGTCTCTAAGAAATCCTTTACTGGATATCTTATTGACACTGTTGAACCACTTCTTTACCCTTCTACTGAATAAGCCATAAAACATTTTAATCTTAACATACAAGCAACAGTAACAATTAATGAGTCTTACCTCTTGCGATTCCTTTTCAAGTAATGCCGTCCTTTTATTTAGTTCATTAATGGTCTGAACTATAGATTGAATTTCACCTTGAACAACACTTAGTTCCTTTGTCATGTTCTTAATGTCGTCGTTGTACTGTTTTAAATTTATTTCCATCGTCTCCATCTTTTTGAGCATATTTTTTTCCATTTCTGATTTAATTTTGGCAATTTCCTTAATTTCGTCAAGGAATTCGGTCCTGTGTAGACCGGTTTCTTTGAAAAGTAAAACCTTAAAATCGGGTTTTTTAATACAGACTGTCCTTAACGATCGATTCCATTCGATGACTTTTGATTGTAACTGAAAAATAGCATAAAATTTACATCGGTTCACATATCAGTTATAATGTTGCCATAGTGTTGTTATAGTATAAGCCAAAGATGTTGGAGAAAGGGCGCTTACCGAAGACTTAAGGGTTCTCTGCGACTACTTTAAACAATGGCGACTTCGCCCTAATACAAACAAAACTGAGACAAGCCTCTTCCATCTCACAAATCAGCTTTCGAATGACACCCTTAGCATCACCTTCAATGGCGAGACTTTGAAACATAATAACAACCCTAAATACCTGGGTGTAACACTCGACAGATCACTGACGTTCAAAACCCATCTTACGAATGTAGCTGCCAAAGTGAGAACCCGTAACAACATAATAACAAAGCTTGCTGGAACGACATGGGGTGCCACTGCGGATACACTTCGAACCTCCTCACTGGCCCTGGTGTATTATGTCGCTGAATACTGCGCACCGGTATGGCTAAATAGCGCTCATGTCAACAAGATTGATGTTCAACTAAATTACACTATGAGAGTAATATCTGGTACTATTAAATCAACTCCACTAAGATGGCTTCCAATTCTGAGCAATATAGCACCTCCAGATATTCGACAAACGGCAGCACTTGTCAGAGAATATCAGAAAATCATGGCAAATAATCGTCTGCCAATTCACCCGTATATTCCGCACGCCGCACGAGACCAACAAAGACTGAAGTCCAGACGACCCCCCTGTCCAATCCGTTCAGGGAATGGGTGATAGCTACAATAAGCAAGAGCAGTGGACGACAAGATGGATGCCAACAACAGAGCCAGACGTCATCAAAATAACAAGTACATCGATCGGCTTCACTAGATCAAACCTGCCACGCCTTATATGGACAAAATTAAATCGCATACGCACGGGTCATGGCAAATGTGCCGATTCTCTATACCGATGGGGTCATGCAGAAAGCCCACAATGTGATTGTGGATCCCCGAGACAGACCATCCAACACATCATGGCGGATTGCCCAGTAGGAGACCTTCAAGATTTTGCAGAGTGTTCTCCTGGTACAATTGAATGGCTGTGCAATTTGGACATTAATATTTAATATTTAACTTAGGTTACAATTCCAATTTGAACATAATTATTATGTAAATACTACTTTTATCGTATTGTAATTATCCATACGCTAAATAAATAAAATCAGTTATAGTTATTTGACTTATTTCTCGATGTGTTTGTATAAAAAGGGTGTACATATGTAGGAAATTATAAGTATAATTTCAATGTATGTGGACTGTATTATATAGGGCTGGTTGGTTCAAATAAATTAGGCTATGTAGTAAAGGGTATACAGACAATAACAAATTAAGTTTATACAAAGTCTTACCAATATTTTTTTTGCTCCAGACACTCGCGGTTTTTAAATATATTCGCGTCTATACACGATTTAAAATAGTATTTGCGGTATTTTTCGCGTAACTAAAGCCGGAGAGAGATAATTAGCGATAGAAAACAGCCACGAGAGATGCTGGTCTTCTTGATAAGCGAAGAGAAAAAGAGAATGACTATCCCTAGCGGTAGCCGACAATCAAGAAGGCACGACTCGCCCTGGTGGAAGTCAAATCAAGAGAGTACGACTGGCCCTAGCGGCGGCCAAATCAAGAGAGAGGCTTTCTTCTTTGCTATCTTAAAACTGTCTGTATTTGTAATGGAGTGGGGTTAAAATGTAAGTAGGAAAGGTTATTAAGGGTTGGACTAAGATAATAATTGTAAAATTGTGATAGAAGGATAGTTAATAATACAGCGAAAAATGACATGATTTTTCGCATGTGAAAAAATTGAACAGTGATCACTCTTGCGAACAACAAAAAAATGACTTACCGATAGGGCAAATAAAAAACCTTACCTTTTCATGCTCCTCTTGGATTTCTGTATCAAAACCAAGTTTAATATCTTGATCATGTTTAACTTTTTCTTTAATTATATTTAATTCATTTTTCATGGTTTTAATATTTTGCAAGAGATTCTTTTTTTCCTGATATGTACACGGCTGTTTCTTTATGCTTTCCTCAAGTCTTAGTATATTTTCGTTAAGATCATTTTCTCTTTGTACCAATTTATTCAGTATGTTGGTGTAGTGATTTATTCCCACTTCTAACTCCGCATCCTCGGCAGCGTCGTTTTCTTGAAGTTTATTCAAATTTTCAAGTAAACTAGCTTTTCTTTCTTCTAAATTCTACAAATTGGAAAAAAAATCATTAAAATTGATTTTATACTAGCCGTACTGCGTATAAACCGTTTGATAAGTTTTCAGAAAAAAACAAATTGTGTTAAGATATTGTTACGACAGTTCCGTAAGATTGATTCCATATAGAAAAAGACCCTTGGCGAAAAAGAAGAAGAATTAAAAAATTAGAATGTTATAGACATCATCGGAATGCCTCGTAAGGTTTGAAATGTCAGAACTCGCTATCGCTATGTGCAAGTTTGGAAGAGTGACACCTAGTGTCATAGATCAGCAAAATTATTAGCACTTTTAATATACTAATCGTATGTAAATTGCAAACAAAAGACCTAAACTTGTTTATTTAATACAATAACTTGTAATTTATATTAGAAATCCATTTTTCTCTTTGCATTCATTTTAGCTCATAATTTGGAACCGAATAGAACTTGAATTGACTATTTCTTGTTGTATTTTTACAGTTTTTACAGCATCTAAAGCAGGTTTACCAGAGTCAACTGAAGGTTCGATATCAAAAACATAACGAAAGCCAGCAAATTTGAAATCGATTTTGGCATTTGACACTCGAGCACCTAAAATTTTATTTGAAGATTTGAAGAAAACGTGAGTGTAATCGAAGAAGTAAGTCTTCAGATAACCACAGTTAAACAAGAAGATAATGATAAAACTTTCCTGGAAAGCCTTAAAAAGAGTTAAAAGAAAGATAATGACTTAAAAATCATACGAGAATTGCTTAAAAATGGAGTAAGATTTAGGTAACTGTAGAAATCGTTTTAAAACAAGAAGTCGTGGCAAAATGGCACAATATCTTTCCGGAGAACCTTTTGAACGACTTGCAGTAGATATTGCATAGACAGTGTGACGGTATCATTGTATAAAGATAAAGGGGACACTATTTTAATGGTAATAAGCTACAATTGAAGGTTAAAATAATTTTATTGACGTTTCAATTTCCACTTCAGAAATCCAAACATTGATAATGTTTGTCTTTTGAGAAGGATTTATCATTCTGTATACATATAAGAGAAAATCGATCTTTTCCAATAGACAAAATATATAAAAAAATAAATTGCACATACCTTTTTCTTTTCAGTTAATTCCTGGACTTCAATTATAAGACTGTCCAAATGCTTTTCCTTTTCTTCGACTTGTTTCTTTAGTTGCTCATAAGAATTTTTATCTACACCAACGTTACTTGCAAAAGCAGAAATAAAATTTTCCAGTTGTTCCTTGTCTTCTATATCTTCGTTGGAATTATTAAATTGTTGGTATCTTTCCAAAATATAATCTCTGCAAAGCTATAGGCAAAAGGAGTCGTTAATTATAAAAAACAAATTTACATAAAACAAAAGCTCAGAACAATAAAAAAGAGGAGGCTTGTATGTTGCTTAACCAGAAGAGACAGTAGAGTGTTATTTCATTCTGAGTGGTTTATGCAGAGCTGGAGAGTCCCGTACATTACGCCATCCTGGACCTTCATGTAAAGTTGCTGATCGGGACGCTCAGATCTAAGAGGGGACCAGTGTAACCAACAAGCTTATTTCGACGTACCCCATATAACGGTTACTGCATATATCTGTTGACACGATGATGTGTGTTCAAGAATAGAAGTGGACTATTCCAGATTAGAAGAATGCTACAAAACCAAGAAATAAAAAACGAATTAAAAAATATTGTGAATGATAATATGCAAAAAACACTAACTGACAACAAACAAATTATGGATGTAAATAAAAAGTGGTGTAATATAAAAAACACATTACTGAAACCGGCTCAAGAAAGTTTAATACAACAAAGGTCAGAGGCTAAAAAACACTGGATGACAGAAGAAATACTATTACTGATGGAAGAAAGAAGGAAATATAAAGGAAAAGATCTACAGAAGTAAAAAGAAATACGAATACGAATAATTAGGGAAAAAATCAAAACAGCTAAGATTGGTGAAGCAATGTAAAGAGATAGAAGAACTAGAAACAAAATATTATATGAGAAATATGCACAAAAAATTGGAGAAGTGACTGGAATGGGTCGAAATAGACTGCAAGGACACATAAAAGACAAAAAAGGAGTACTACTAATAGATTTACCAGAGAAGTTAAGGCGATGGGAGGAGTACTTTACCAAGATGAAAGAGGTGAAATGCAGAAAATACAAGAATTAAATCCTTTAGAGAGACAAAAGATCACGATAGATGAAATCAAATATGCTATCAAAAACTCTAAAGACAATAAGGCAGCTGGATTAGATGAAATACCAGTAGAACTGTTAAAACTAGTGGAAGAGGATAACTTGGAAGTATTGGCAGATTTATTCAACACGGTGTACGATTACGGGAGTAATACCACAAGACTGGCTGAAGTCAGCATTTATAACCATCCCTAAAAAACAAGCAACAAAAGAGTGCTCTGATTATTGAACACTGAGCCTCATGAGTCATACTTTAAAAGTTCTGCTAAAAATAATACATAAGAGAATATACGAAAGGCTAAAGGGGGATATTAGCGAGACGCAGTTCGGGTTCCGAAATGGAATGGGTACTCGAAAAGGACTATTTGCCATCAATATATTGATTCAGCGATGTCGGGATGTAAATGTTGATCTACACTTGTGCTTCGTTGACTAGAAAAAAGCTTTCGATAAAGTAAGACATGAAAAACTAATATCAATACTTATGAACAAGCGCATTGACAGTAAAATCATAAGAATAGTGCAAACATTATATTGGAACCAAAGTGCTATAGTTCAAATTGATGGGCAACACTCAGAAGAAATGAGGATCTGTAGAGGAGTTAGACAGGGATGTGTTTTATCACCACTTTTGTTTAACTTATATTCTGAAGAAACTTTCCAAAAAACGCTCAATAATATCGAAGCCGGAGTCACCGTTAACGGAAAATTAATTAACAACTTAAGATATGCAGACGACACTGTGATCATAGCAACGAGTATAGAGGATCTACAACATCTTATCGAAAGCTTGAGTATGAATAGTGCTGAGATGGGAATTACTATAAACGCTAACAAAACGAAGTACATGCTAATTACAAAAAGACCACAAAATATAAATCACCTATTGACAATCAATGGTAACGTGATAGAACAACAGGGAAAGATTCAAGGAAGAAGATCTGTTGGCCGAAGGCTACACATCTACACATGGTTAAAGAATCTACAGGATTGGTATCAATGCAGGTTGATTGATTTGTTTAGAGCAGCAAGTTCTAAAATAAAAATAGCCATTATGATTGCCAACCTCCGTAGGGAGACGGTACTCTAAGAAGATTCCAGATTGTACATAATAACTTGTATATATAAGCTGCGCTGATATTGTTTTGGTTGATAAGATATTATACTTGTAAATTAACTAACCTGTGTTAGCGTACATTGTTGTTGCTCTCCAGGTGTAAGTTTATTTAAATCAATTTTACCATTATCTACTAGATTAACTTTATCTATCAACCATCCAAACATGCCGATGACTTGGGGCCAGGAATGCATTGTGTTTACTGAAACAGTGCAATTATTTTATTAATTTATTTAATTCTTAAATTAATTTATTTAATTTGTTTAAACATTCTGCAGCTACAACCTCCAGTTGGACTGGATTAGTCTGGTTATCAGTTTTCTACAAAAGTTTGTTTGTGTTTTATGTCTTTCTGAAATGAAATAATATAAATGACGCTAGGTCTACAAAGCCTGTTGAACAAATAAATACATCTACAAAATATAGCCTATTTTGGATTAATAAAACTTCTAACAAACAAGTTTTTATGAACAAAACAGTAATACCTTTGCCCTCTGTAGACATAAATAATAAACAATCAAACTCACCTGTTTTCAATACAGAGTTTGTCATGGATCCAGGATAATGCATTGCCTTTAATTTTTTTGCAATCACTTCCTTATAATTTTCCATAGATAGATTTACAGAAGGAAATAATTCACTGAACAATACAGACACGAGATATATGAACCCCTTTATTGATGGAGGCTTGATATTTTCAGGTTTCACAATAGTTGGGTCGATCTTTTCGGAAGTTGATATATAACGCTTAACCTAGAGATTAAAAGTATTATTACAATTACCAATTTTAATAGATTGTACAGAAATTTTTTGTGGCTGTCAACACATTAAAATAACAAAAACGCCAATTAGGTAATAAATCATAAGGATGCAGTTCAAGTCACTTGAGCCCTTCCACAAAATAAGCTGTACTTGATGCGATAAAAAGTTCTTTGGTGATGATTTACTTGAGTTTCAGTTCTATGTTTGAGTCAATGATGTGTTTCTGAGGTATAGTCATCTTCTTCTTAGGGTACCTGTCCGTTCCGAATGCTGGCGATCATTCTGGCTATGATGACTTTATTGGTTGCTATACGAAATAGCTGTGTTGAGGTCTTTCTATACCATGCACTCAGATTAGCAAGCCAGGATATTCTTCTTCGTCCTCGGGCCCTTTTTCCTTCAATTTTACCTTGCAATATGCATTGGAGTAGCTCATATCTGCCTTGATTTCTTATTATATGTCCCAAGTACAGCAGCTTACAGCCCTTCACGATGTTGCCAAATCCGCAGTTGTGTTCATCCTCCGCAGTACTTCTTCATTGGTGACTTTGTCTGTCCACAGTATCTTCAAGATCCTTCTGTATGACCATAGCTCAAAAGCCTGAAGGTTTGATAGAGTTTCCGCTGTCAATTTCCACGTTTCTACTCCATACAGAAGCACTGAGTACACATGAGGAGCCTTATTTTCGTTTCTAGGGTGAGGTTATGGCTCTTGAACATAGAACTCATAGGTATAGTCTACCCTATACAAATCTAAGCTGGACAAAACTAACAGAATATGTAAAAAAATAATATTAAAAATTACCTTCTGATATTGTGCATTAACCCAATCCTTATTAGTACTTAATTTTTGAATAGTCTTTCTCTCTTTTAATGCAGAAACAGATATCTAAAATATGAAAGTTTGTTTAATTTCATATAGGTAAAAGTTTTAAATATGAATAAATGTAACCCAAGGTGTAATACCATAGTTACCACAAGATGCACAGTACACTGGAAAAAGTGTTGCCTTAAGCAATGTCCCAGAGAGCTGGTGAACTCTGGGGGATTATAGCCTTAGTATGGTAAGGATGCACCAATGTACCACACAATATAACAAAAAGAGATGCTCAGAAGTGGGCTCAGAAATGAGTAACTCTGCTGAGCTTATAAATATAAAACAACTGGGATTTTGGCACCTGCCTGGCTAAAGTGATCATAAATCAAAATGTTTAGTAACCATTATAACCCACGAAATGACCTTCCTGAACTAGTACAAAGTGCTGAACCTAAAGAATTCAACAATATTTTTCATATCTTGATCAACAATCAACTACCCATTTCAGTTAGTCAGTTATTTCAGTTAGTCATTATAATCTGTAATTTTTCCAAATATTGAAAATGTTGTAATTTACATATACAAGCCTTAGTTCAGCAAGTTCTATTTTAGTAAATATAACTGAAACTAAATAGGATATGCCTTGAAATTCATAATGGAAAATCAATCTGGATATGGTTGATAATTTCGTACTCACTGATGATTTACAGCTACTACCGCTTCTTAGAGAATTTGGTGTAGTTCTTTGAAAATTTTGTCTAGGAGTTTGTTTTACAGCAACATGAGATTTTCTATCAAGTGATTGTGGTCTTGCTGATACTGGTGTACTTCTCTGGAAACTTTTTTGTCTAGTTAAGGGAGTTATAAGATTTGTTTGGGATTTTCTGTCCAGTGATGTTGCTCTTGACGGTCTATTTAAAGCTAAACCATCTTGACTTGATAATCTAAAATACCAATAAATAAATCTATCAATATATGAGCCCTAACAAATATATAAGGGGAAAAATTAAAATATATTACACATTAAGGCATTTTTATATCAGGCACAGCTAATTTATTATTTTTTTAATAGTTACGATAATATTGCTAATAAAACAAGAAATATTTTAAATTATTATAATCACAAATCGTAATTAATATTGTTTTATACAACCCACATAACTATTAATGTTATAAAAATCATCAAAATATACAAAACCTACACATGGCAACTAAATACTGGGACAGTATGAAGTAACTACTAAAAACCACACAAGATAAGACAATTTGGATACAACAACAATGCAGACAGATACTCTAAGTAACATCAAACTATATTCTATAATTAATTGTTTGTTAAACTGAGTGAACCACTGTATTATTTCAAAAATTTCTGAGTTAGTGGTTAAAAATTATTCATGATTTTAAAAATTATTGCTCCAATAAAAAAATCCTTGAAGTGGCAGATGAAATTAAAATTCTTAAAATGGACCGTAAAATTTCCTAAATGAGTGATGATTTGGAGTTGTATGGCAGTTTTCGCAAACAAACAATATGCAAAGAATAGAATGAAGTATGTTCCTGACGATTGGTATAGAGTGTTTGAGAAGTATCCCATGTGTTTGCAAGGTGGACAGAAATAATTTTGTATCATCACAAAATCTAGAAGCAGCTGTTACCAGATAGAAGAAAAATGAAGATAACATGCCAGTATCATGGCTAAAAATTCAATGTCTACAATTTCGAAAAACTGACTCCTGCAACCTGTATGAAAAGGATGTATTGCCAATTTTCAAAACTGTATGAAGATCCAATACCAGTTACTACTAAAACAAAGAAGGATATGGAAGATCTTTTGGTATTTATACCACTCATTTGTCACAACTTTTTCAAAAATGTATCTGTACATGGATACAAAACAACAGAAGTATGCTTTACTCCAAAATATTGAACATATTGAAAACCAGAGTGGTTTAAGTCAAAATATTAACAAAAAATATATAAATTTCAAGTGCTGACTCATTGTTCCTACAGAATTGTTAAATTTAAGCTTTTTTAATAGAAAATCATTCTGATCACTGACAGTTTCTATGTTCCCATTTAACATTGCCAACATGTTGGCAACTTTAAGTCATTGTTTCTAGAATAAAAGCATTTCTCACTTAGACCACTCTTGTTTTCAACAGCTTATAGCTCACTAGCTTTACAAAAATTCTTGTGTATCTAGGGATAATTTTAATAAATCATCATCATTATTTTGACTTTGCCACCCTGCGTGAGTCCTAGCCTAATATCATCATTTTAATTTTAATAAATACCTAATTTGAAATTAATAAACAGTACAGACAGATAGAAAAAGGTTAATTAAATTATTAAAAAATAAAAATACCTGGATTTTGAACTATCCCTATGTCCTCTATTGCTAGAAATAGATGGACCAAATAGACGAACAGGGATACTACTCTGACTGCCTGATTTCCTCATCTTGAATGTAAATTATTGCTAAAATCATTAAATCAAATTATATTTGATAATAAAATAATGGATTGCATTATTTCCATTCATCTATACATTGTTTTATTAAATAGTACACACTGAAAATTTTAAAGATCACACTTTATTGGCTTCATTTGTCTGTAGACATACTTTCTTTCTTCTTGATTTCCTATCTCATGTTTGCTGAATATTATTTTACTGGTATTAGTAAGGCGGGGTACAGTTGAGTGGTTTTGGAAATTTTATAACAATTACAACTTACCCTCACATCCATCAAATTTTAAGTGTTAATTATCTATATTACCAGTATTATTCAGTATATGCACATTTCAGTTGTATCTTGTTGATTTATTACACCAAAATATTTAAAATGATTCACAATTTTATTTGATTGTTATTTCTTAATACAAATGTATTTCTCGTAAATATTTTATTGGTAAGTAATAATACTTTACCCTTTAATTGTTAACTATTTTAGTTGTTGTTAGCTAAACTTATTTTTATTGCTGCATATAAGTAATATTAACACTTATAAAAAGTTAAACAATTCAAATCAACTATTTTCCGTTACTTTGGTTAGTTTTTTAATTACTTCTGCTTCTGTTCTCATTAGTTTATTGGCCTCCACCTACTTGGGTATTTGGCCATCTCAGCATGGTCTACCCAGGAAGAAAATATCCTTAATTCACCTTATCCTCAATCCAATTTGGTTGTAATATGAGAACAACAGAGTTACAGATTTTTTTCTCTCAGGGACAAAGATCGAGCATTACACAATCCCGAAATGTTACCACCCAGGTCACAGGTTATTGCAGAATGTGAAACAAAAGATTGTGTTATTATCAATGTAAAATGAGAATATTGTAGTTTGATTCCGCGTGCATTGTCCGTTACGCACCAACATATCCGCCGAAGACCTAGCCGTGACTGTAGTATTTTTGCTTGTGGCTATGATCAACACTTTTATTTCTATAAACTTAAAGAAAACGGTATATAACATATGCATACTACAAATTTGTACCTGCTGGTTGGAGATCGTAGCCCTTACCAGGAAATCTGTTAAATAGGCCAATGGAACGAAACATACTTGGAATATTACTGAGATAAGATTGGAAACAGCAAGATAAATAGAACGAAGATCTGTGATATCGTAGAAGAAATTACAAAAATGAAATGGCGCTGGGCCGGTCACATAGCCAGATATGATGATAACAGGTGGACACGGAGAATCCTAGAATAGAGACCAACGGGGACGACAAGAAGCATGGAAATACCCCAAAAGAGATGTTTTGATGACATAGGACTAGCACAGGATAGATAAAGATCGAAGCAATTTGGAGTAGATGGAAAATTTTTGACGAAGAGGAAGATCATCCACAGTAGAAACAGTAGAATAAGGAGTACTTGTGTGTGCAAGATCAATATGAAACGCAGTTTGAATTTAGAGATGGATTGGGAACTAGAGGAAGAAAAAGGAGCAGGAGGACAGAGCAGTGACATGGATGGCAATAATAGGAGAACTTTATTTAGTTTCTGTTTACTTTTTAATATAATTAAAATACGTTGTTAAAGAATACATTTCTTTACTACTATCCAAATTTGTTTTCCTTTATTAATAAAAGTATAGGTTTTTTTACAACCAAACGTTAAAGGGGTAATATTTGGGTTATTTACCTTAGTTATTGTCTTTAAACAATATTTTATCTGAATATTTTATCCATTTTTATACAATGTACCTAATAAACTGGTTACATTATCATTAACATCAATTATTTATAATTTTTATTTTAGCTTTTGAGCTAAGAGTACTCTTAAGAAGTCTTACTCTACTTATATGTTGCACTAATTATTATCGTTAGGATACATTATTAAGTATAGTTATCAATGCCTTAAAAATGTTAAAATATTTATAGGATTTATCGGCCAGTTCGATACTGCCTTATTGGTATCAAGAGTGCGTTAGCTTTCATTTCATGAGAGTAAGACTATGAGGTCGAAAAACGACCTTCATTCTCGACTTTAACTTCCCGTTCTCAATAAAAAATATCGACAATGAAATATATGGGAAAATTCGAACGTTAAAAAAATAATAATAAAGAGAAAAACTTTAAGGAAGTAGGCCGTAGAGGTGTAACAAGAAAACAAGTCTCTTGGTTAAAAAACATTCATGAATTGACTCAGATATCAAATGCAGGACAATTATTCCATATTGCAGAAGATCGAGAAGCCTTCGCAATGTGATCGCCAACTTCGGATAATTCTGATAGGGCACGCGAAGAAGAAAAAAACTTTAAACTTTGACTATACTTTAAATGAAGATAATAAGTTGAGTAATAAAATATTTATTTAAAATGATTTATTAGTTCGTCATATTTCTGGATCATTAGTGTGATTATTAGTTGCCTCAATTCATGTCAGTTCTATACTGCTAACTTGGTATAATAAATGATATCAATAATAAAGACGGTACTATTAATAAGTATCATCCCACCAGCAGAACGGAGCATTGACGGAGTACGGTACTATTATTTTAATTCGTTAGTGTAAAGTAGGCGGAACTGGTTTGTTACTAATTGATTTTTAAGTACTTCCTTTTTATTTTTAGATTTGATTTGACACAATTTGTTAAAAAGTTACAAGCCTTGTGATTCAACACGATTTTATTGGACATGAGCATTTTGAAGGTTTTACCTGTACGTTTTTTTACTTTTGTAGTAGTTGAATTTACAAAGTAATACATTAGACAGGATTAAAGCATTATTTTTAATTTTTACTATAAATTTGTGTTTATATTATGCTATTTGCATCGTGTAAATTGAAACAATCAAAGAAGCATTTGAAGCAATTGGAAATATGGTAGATAAAAACGAACTAAATCTTATTATTGAAAGCTGGGAACTAAAGTATTTTCCACCTAAGAAGACCACTTTGCAATTAAATGCTGGTAACTTTATTACTAGCGGACCAGATAAGCGGCGATATATTTTACACTACTTTTATGAATAACATTTTACTGCTGTGTTATTTCAATCAGCACTCTTCAACAAGTTATCGTTTATTGGTTTTAATAGTTTATTGCAATAGTACGAGTACGGAATATTTATTTAAACAGTGAATTTATTACATGTTAATTTTTTTTAATTGTTTCTGACGTATCTTATACTGTAGGTTTACCCAATAATCAAAGCTATGCCTTTACAAGAATACATTATTTGAAAAATAAGAAGTAGAAGTAAATCATTGAAAAATGATTCATTCTATTTAAAAATATCTTTTTGTTAACGACACTGATATTTTATCGACAAAGTAGATCAAATTCAAACTTGTCATCATATTACACTTCTGTTTATCGTTAAAAATTAATTGATGTTCGTGGGTTGTATTGGTGTTATTTAATAATTTAGCAAAATACATAATCAGCCAAAACTTATTTAAAACATGCGAACGGTTTTTGTAACCATAATCAATGCAGTGCTTATACTTGTTTAACATTGGCCGTTAAATAATTTGTGTTCGATTTTTTCGTCTGTTGTACAACCCTCGTCCTTTTTAGGGGGTAGTAGTAGTGTAGTGAAGCGATACTTTAAAGTAAAATGACTAATTTGGAAGAAAATAAAATACAGTCGAAACGTAGAGTGTTATCTCCAGAAGAACGGCGTTAGTTCTGAAAGCAGAAAGTATTTGAATTTGGAAAACAATAATATAGGTCCATTGACATATGTTACGGCAGTTCAGAAACGCACATGCGATGCTTGCGGTATCTCAGAGAGGACATTCCGAAGAATTAATAACATGAGTGAGGATGAAATAAATAAAATAAGCAAGAGACATCTAAAAACTTTAGATTTGCGAAAGTAGATTAAACTTGCAATTAAAAATATTATATATAATATGTATAAAGCCAAAGAACATGTAACAATTAGTGCTGTGTTACAAAAAATAAAAGACGAGGAACTGTGTGATATTAGTTTAACAAGTTTGTGAAGAGGGCTGAAACATTAAGGTTTTCGATATAAAAAACAAATAATAGACAAGTATTGTGTGAACTCTTTAATGTTGTTTCAAAATGGTGGCATTTTTTAAGAAAATACATGAACAATAAAACGTATGATAGTCCGAGGCAAGTTGTATTTGTAGATGACACTTGGATTTTCGCTTAAGGAAATATGTCAAAATAATCCTGGCAAGATGGCACCACGAAATGTTATTCTTCTAGTCGTTCTGGTAATGGTAAACGCTACATTTTACTTTATTCCTGACGCTAGTTTAATTTTTTCATCCACAAAGAATACAGGTGATTACTATGTAAATATGGATGCAAATATTTTTGAAGAATGGTTTGAAGAAAGTTTGTTAAAAAAATTGGAGCGACCATTCATAATAGTGTTGGATAATTCATCCGATCACTCAAGACTAGAAGAGATATTTCCTTCAAGCAGCTGGACAAAAGAAGAAATACAGTTGTGGTTGACAGAAAAGAAAATTTATCACAGTGACATATTTTTAAAAGACTTCAAAGGTGTGGAGAACACAAAATTCAAAAGAAGTTTGTTACTGAACAAATAACTCTTAAATATGGCCATGAAGTTCTTCGACTTCTGCCCTACCATTGCCACTATAACGCAATTGAGTTATATAGCCAAAAATTTTTATGATAAACATGCATCCAAAACAACGGATGACGCTAGCGTTCTTAGTTAATGGAAAGAATCGCTAGAACAAATAAAGGCAGAATAATGGCAAAATTGTATTAGACATACGGAAGACATAATCGTTTAGTATTTTCAAACCGAGCGAGTTATAGATGAGGTCCGGCCTCCAATTATAGACAATTCAGATAGTGACGGCTCTGTTAGTGAAATGTCAGACAGTGAATAGGACAAATCGTTTGCTAAAAAGAAGTAACAAAAAAGTGTTTCGGGAATTCCATTCGGACTTTGTGGTGTGTTTTAGTTAAACGATAAAGTACCTTCGGTCTAATTACTTGACTGCATACTTTCAATAGC